GCACCTCGTAATGGCGCTTTGACAAACAAACTGCCACCACATCCGCACGTTTTACTGATTTTTTAAATTCGTATCAAAAGATTTGTTTTTATAGAAAATATAATTTAAGTTTAAGGGCGCATGTGAGGGTGTTTCGGAAGCGCATCAATTACGTTTTAGTGTGACAAGTTTTCGGGGGGCAAAAAAAATGTGGGAGGTCTCGGGATTTCGCAAAAGGCGATCATTTTATAAAAGTTGTTGATTTTGGACGTCGCTGAAATATTCATCAATCAGCGACGGTGGTGTCTATAAATAAATATCATTCAAAACTCATTAGCTGTCCGTCCGTATGTCGCATTTAGAAAAAATAATGCCACACATGATATACTAATCAAAAAATAAATGCTACCGAATGTCTCTCAGGCTTATTAATAGCGAAAGGAAAATATGCTTTTTTTTTGTTTTAACCAAATATTTGGATTAGACGTCCCAGTTAAAGATATATTTTTGTTTATATTTTTATTCGACACGGAACTTATGTCACTTTAGTATCGGTTTGAAATACCGGCGGCGGCGAGCGTGCCACCCCAAAAATAATCGGGGATGGCGCACATGGCCCATAACTCACCGATAGACGTCCCATCTAAGTGGTCCCTTTTCAAAAGTGATAAGTTGCCAAAATTTGTCACAACACCCGGTGGGCTCGACCAAATTAACATACATCGATAGTCCATGCGGAAAAAAAATCCTCGCTACACACCTACGACTAAAAATAAAAGTTTCTCACAGCGCACTTCGGAATATAAACAAACTTGAAAGTTTGTATCAGAAAATTAATGGCCCCTTAACTTGCAACCCTCTTCTCTTAGAACCGAAATAGAACGTTTCCAAATTTAAAATTTATGACGTACTCAAAAGTGCCATAATTTTATTATTCACTTACGCGTCATGTGAGATCGTTTGTTCATTTTCTGAATTAATGACGCGTTAATTCTTAAACTTGCAGCGAGATCGTTTGAATTAGGCCGACGAGACGGGGGCGGCCCCGTGCCAAAGCCGAATTTAATGTTACAAATTATCCCTGTAAGAAATCCTCGATAACGTACGCGTAAGAATTTTTAACGGCACAATTCTTTTGGCTCCCAAGCTTTGATAGAGTTGGGATCCCCAAGGGAGCAGCTTCAAAAATATCAGAAATCTTTGAACTGCAAATTTCCATTGTTTTCAAGGCTTTCTAGATTTCAGGATTCCAATAGGTCTCCAAGATTTTAAGATAGAGAACTTTCGCCCAATAAACTTCTTGTAAAGGATCACTAAATATTGGGAGTCAAAATAGTCATTAATTTCTTGTATACGACAATATTTAGAAAACTTATGAAATCTAGCATACCGTGTGCTGTCAGGATGCGCGAACACGAGATTTTTATTCGTGATGTGATGATTGTAGAGAGAGGGAGAGAGACAATTAATTTTCGTTTACTGGGGGGTATGAAAGACCCCCCGATACTACATTTTCGCGCAAAAATGTGTAGCGTTGACAGTCGCAAGTGCGCCCTAAAGATTGGGAGATTTCATTAGCTCCCATCACTTGATCGATTTGGGACTCCCAAGGAAGTAAGTGCGAGCAGCTTCACCATTAAAATTTTGCTAATAATTTAAAACCGAAAACTAAACCACGAATTTCATTTTTTTCATGGTATTGTAAATGTAGAGACCCCAATATTAATATGGGGGTCAAATGGACTCCCAATGAAGCAAGTGTCAGCGGCTTCAAAAATATTAAAATTCGTTAACATTTTAAGGGCTAAGATTTGAAAGGTTTGGGACTCCCATGGTAGCTTCAAAAATATTAAAATCCGCTAATATCTTAAAGGGTGAAGACTTGAATTGTTTGGGACCCCAAGGAAGCAAGTGCCAGAGGCTTCAAAACTATTAAGATTTGTTAACATTTTAAGGGCTAAGACTTGGAAGGGTTGGGACTCCCGTGGTACCTTCAAAAATATTAAATTTCGCAGCTAATATCTTTAAGGGTGAAGACTTGAAATGTTTGGGACCTCCATGGAAGCAAGTGCCAGAGGTTTCAAAAATATTAAAAATTTTTAACATTTTAAGGACTAAGGCTTGGAAGGTTTGGGACTACCATGGTAGCTTCAAAAATATTAAAATCCGCTAATATCTTAAAGGGTGAAGACTTGAATTGTTTGGGACCCCAAGGAAGCAAGTGCCAGAGGCTTCAAAACTATTAAGATTTGTTAACATTTTAAGGGCTAAGACTTGGAAGGGTTGGGACTCCCGTGGTACCTTCAAAAATATTAAATTTCGCAGCTAATATCTTTAAGGGTGAAGACTTGAAATGTTTGGGACCTCCATGGAAGCAAGTGCCAGAGGTTTCAAAAATATTAAAAATTTTTAACATTTTAAGGACTAAGGCTTGGAAGGTTTGGGACTACCATTGTAGCTTCAAAGATATTAAAATCTGCTAATATCTTAAAGGGCGAATACTTGAAATGTTTGGGACCTCCAAGGAAGCAAGTGCCAGAGGCTTCAAAAATATTAAAATTCGCAAATCAAATTTGCTCAAAAATGAATGAGGATTTAAAAAATAATTTTTATGTTAAGAGAAAGCAGTGGCGTAGTATTTTTTCTCCAAAAATATTTAATCCAAAAGTCGCACGGGCGCCACTGGTAGAGAAAATAAAAGCATAGAAGACATGCACCAAATTTCATAAATATGTCTACAATATTCTCTGTTATTATTCAAAAAATGACTTTTTTTAAACTTGACCACCCTGTATCTCAAAATTTAAAACGTTTAGGACTTCCGTTCATAGGAAGTTTTTTTCTTAAAATGGGTCCAAGAATTATCCTCTTAAATATTCGCATGTCCTTAAGGAACCCCCTATATATTTGAGGATCCCAATATATCTTTATCCTCTAAGACCTTAATATAGGGGAATTTTTGCCTCATGTGCTGCTGATAAAGGTTTTTCAATATCAGTAATCATTGGAGTTAGTGCTGTTAAGATTGGGAGTAACGAAATTCTATTAGCCCCGAGGGATTGATAGATTTGAGGGTCCCAAAGAAGTAAGAGCCAACAGTTTCCAAAATGATTAAAATTCGTTAATATTGTTAACTTTAAATTGCAAATTTTGTCCAAGTCTTTGTAAATTTAAGGATCCTTTTATCTGTAAGAGATTAAAATTGGGGAACTTTTGCTCTCATAAGTTGCTAATATAGGAAATTTAGGGATCCCAATATGCCTTTAATGTTAATGATTTTAAGATTGAGGAACTTTTACTTCATAAGCTACTGTTCCAAAATTATTGGAGTTTAAAGCAGCTCCCAAGACTTATACATTTGGGACCTCCAAGGAAATAAGTGCCAGCAGCTTCAGAAAATATTGAAATGCGCTAATATTTTAAGGGCGAAAACGTTTCTATTCTTTCTAAGGCTCTGTAAGTTTAAGGATCCCAATATACTTACCTTTAATTTCTAAGCCCTTAACATTTGCCTCGTATACTACTGATGAAGGATTTGCAATATCACTAAATATTGGGAGCCTGATTCTGCGAGATTCTATTAGCTCCCACGACTTGATACATTTGGGGTCCAAAAATAATACAATCTCATATTTTAAGACCAAAATTTCTCAAACGCGAGATTCTATTTTTTAAGGTTCTGTTAAAATAAAGGATCCTAATATGCCTTTATTCCAGAAGATTTTAAGATAGGGGGAATTTTGCATCATAAACTACTAATAAGGATTTTCAATTTCACTGAGTATCACTGGAATATGTTACAATTTTTAAGGGCAAACACTTTAAACGTAAATTTAAGGATCCCAATGTGCCTTTAAAATTTTAAGATCCTTCATAAGAATTAGAAGCATCTTAAGGTTGCAAACTTAAAGCTACGAGATTCAGTTAGCTCCCATGACTTGACAGATTTGGGAGCTCTAAGGAAGTAAGTGCCAGAATCTTCAAAAATATTAAAACTCGTTAATAATTTAAGATCGAAAACTTTAAACTGCGAATTTCCATTTTTTCCAAGGCCTTATATATTTGAGGATCCCAATATGCTTTTATCCTTTAAGACCTTGTCATAAGCTGCTGATCATTACACTGAATACTCTGCTAAGCTCTGCAAATTTAAGGATCCCAATATACCTTTATCCTCTTAATACCGTAATATCTGGGATCTTTAGCTTCAGCGAATACAGTATCTTTTCTAAATGTTGTAATTATCCGTAAGATCGTATTAGCTCCCAAGGTAAAGTCATTGCGGGCAACTTCGATCTTGGATCCTGATTTTTTGTAATATATTTGCAGAGCCGATAAAAGATCATCAATATCTTGAAATACTGGAAGTTGTACGGTTTAGGAGTGGGAATTTTAATTCGCTCCCAAACTCCCATTGTAGCAAGTGCGTGCCGATTTCAATATTTTAAGATGCCCTACCTGAATATTTTCGGTTTTCATTGCCGAAAGCTTAAAACAGCGAGATTCCAGTTCTCTCCTAGGCTTTGTAGATTTAGGGATCCCAATTTTCCAAGTTCCTCTACCCCCCAAGGCCTCAATATTTAATCTGAATTGTTTGGAGCATTTCTTTGGTTCGCGTTCTACAAGATCTATTGCTAATTTGTACTTTGAATTCGAGAATAAATAGTTTACGCTCTTCTAAAATCCTAGGATTGACTACAACATTCCTAAATTGAGAGTGCAATGCATTTCGTTTATTAAAAATCCTAGGATTAGTATTAAGCGGAAACTGATAGGTTTGGCTCTTTTAATTTCAAATTGCATCCTAAAATCCTAGGATTTGTATATTTAAGCTGTGAGGCTTTTTATAAATCTCGATACTTACTGTGCTAAGACACTTCCTAGGAATTTTGGACTACTTTGGAATTGCAATTTTGAATCTTCGGAAATGATAGGTATTCTCGACTACGGCCATTAGGAATTGCGAACTCGAGTTGTTTTGCTAATTAGAATCCTAGGAATAGGATTTGAAAAAAATTCCGTTGCGATAATAAAATAGATTTAATTATACATATAACAGCCATTAAAATTGTACACTTAACCCTACAAAAATGACAATTGGTTTCGTTTCTTTGGCGGCGCGAAATTTAAAATACGTAACACGATCACCTCGGCGTAAAATCGTAATTGGTCTGATGAACGGTCGGCGCCCTCAGGTTCGGCCCGCCGCCGTAAAACGACGCGTAATTCCCGTAGACGTGCCTGCCGAAGTTTCCGCCCCTCACGCCCTTGTCGCTACTGTAGACCGTGTTGTAGCCGTGCAGGATGTTGTGCGGGTGGTAGACCGGACCGTAATTGCACAGTTCGGCCGAGTAGGGCTGACCGATGGGGCTCAGTCCGGCGGCGAACGGTATGAGGGGCGTCGCGGCGCTCTGGTGAGCGTACCTGACGTGATCCGGATGCTGCTGAGGGATGAGATCGTCATCTGGAAGCAGAACGGATTTACTAGGGTTAGGGGGCTTCCGCCATTTTGTTTAAAAACAGTCTGTATAAACAAATTCAGCTCTCTGTATATCTAAGGCTACCTGTTTTATGTTTGATGATCGCAGATATTAATTTAGCCTTTTAATTTGTGTACGTTGGTAAATTGTTTAAACATCTTCGGTTGGGGAAGACGGCCATAAATCTCGTACGTCATATTCTGTGCGTTTTGAGAAATTGCCTGTGTACCTTTTAACGTTTTGGAAAGTAAACAAAAGATAATTTGTTGTGTGATTTATTGACTGGGAAGGAAGCCATGTGTTTGAAAGAATTTCTAAACACTGGGTGCTCCAACAGCTTAAGATGTGTTTACAAAATCGTAAAACTTCAAGTCGTTACTCACAGAGCAGCCTCTGTGCGCTCATTATTGCACTTAATCACTTTTTTAGGAGACATTTAGAGGTTTCATTTTTTTAACCAAACGTAAACAACTTCAAGTGACCCGCACTTGTCGAGAAATTACCTACCTTTGGAAAAGTTCGTGGGCGTCGTCCGCGTCGCTTTCTGTTTGTTGCCCTGCGTGCTTTGTGGACTCACATCTGGACCGCTGAAACAAAGGTGGTATTAACGACAATGTGAATAGTTCAAACGCTCGCCATTTTGAGATGCCTTCCAAAAGTCTAAAGAAAACCATTCAGTGGATGAAGGGCCTTTTAAGTCTGCACGAAGTTTGATCCCTAGTCTCTAGGAACTCAAAAAACTGTTTTTAAAGGTTCTAGAAAAATCATAGACCATTTTTTGAAATTTTTAGGGATGTAGAGAGGTCTCAAGTCTAAAGAAAACATTTAAAGTGAATTAAGGGTTGTAGAATGGTCTTTACGCCTTAAAGAAGTATTGAGTCTAATCCCCAGTCTCTTTTAAAGGTTCTAGAAAAAATTAGACAATTTTTTGGAATTTTGAGGGACCTAGTGAGATGCTAAAAGTTTGAAGAAAGACTTTAAAATGGTTGAAAGGCCTTGAACAACCTTCAGACCATTTTTAAAGTCATGGGAAGCATTTTAAACAGTCTAGCTAGAGCTAAGGGTATTCGAAGTGCTTTTTAGAACCTTTAAGGGTTAACCCAAAACCATTCCAAAATTTTTTTAACTTTTACAAGCGCCATATGGGACGTCAGATCCTTTCAAACCACCTTCAGATCGTTTTCAAACCCATGGGATGCATCTTAAAGAGTCAAAGGCATTCTGGGTGCTTTTTAGAACTTTTAAGGGTCATTCCGAAGGCTTTTGCGCCATTCCACAATTTTTTAAATTTTTGCAAGAGCCCTATCGGGCGTCAGACCTCTTCATACGACCTTCAGACCACTTTCAAAGCTATGGGAAGGATCTTAAATAGTTTAGAAAGAGCTAAAGGCATTCAGAGTGCTTTTACAACCTTTAAGGGTAATTCTAAAGGTTTTTGCGCCATTCCAAATTTGTTAAACTTTTACAAGAGCCTTATGGAACTTCAGATCCCTTCAAACGACCTTCAGATCATTTTGAAAGCCATGCGAATCGTTTTAAAGGTTCTGGAAAGATCTAAGAGCATTCGGAGTGCTTTTTAGAACATTTAAGAGTCATTCTAAAGGCTTTTGCGCCATTCCAAAATGTTTCAAAACTTACAAGAGCCTTATGGGACGTCAGGTCCCTTCAAACGACCTTCAGACCACTATCAAAGTCATGGGACGCATTTTAAAGAGTCTAGAATGAGCAAAAGGCATTCGAAGTGCTTTTTAGAACCGTTAAGGGCCATTCCAAAGGCTTTTGCGGCATTTCCCAATTTTTTTAACTTTTACAAGAGCCTTATGGGCCATCGGATCCCTTCAAACAACCTGTAGACCATTTTTAAAGCAGTGGGATGCATCTTAAAGAGTCAAAGGCATTCGGTGTGCTTTTTATACCCTTTAAATGTCATTCCAAAGGCTTGTGCGCTTTTTCTAAATTTTTTCAGCTTTTATAAGAGCCTTATGGGTCGTTAGTTCCCTTCAAACGACTTTCCAACCATTTTCAAGGCGATAGAATGCATCTTAAGGCGTCAAAGGCATTCGGGGTGCTTTTTATAACCTTTAAAGGTCATTCCAAAGGCTTTTGCGCCTTTTATAAATTTTTAAGCTTTTGTAAGAGCCTCATGGGGCGTCAGATCCCTTCAAAAGCAGTAGAATGCATCTTCAAGCGTCAAAGGCATTAGGAGTGCTTTTTAGAACCTTTAAGAATAATTCCAAAGGCTGTTGCGCCATCCCACAATTTTTTTAACTTTCACAAGATCCTTATAGGGCGTCAGATCCCTTTAAACGACCTTTAGTCCATTGTCAAAGCCATGGAATGCATCCTAAAGGTTCAAAGGCATTCGGAGAGCTTTTTAGAACGTTTAAGAATAATTCCAAAGGCTGTTGCGCCATCCCACAATTTTTTTAATTTTTACAAGATCCGTATGGGACGTCAGATCCCTTTAAACGACCTTTAGACCATTTTCAAAGCCATGGAATGTATCCTAAAGGTTCAAAGGCATTCGGAGTGCTTTTTAGAACATTTAAGAGTCATTCTAAAGGCTTTTGCGCCATTCCAAAATGTTTCAAAACTTACAAGAGCTTTATGGGACGTCAGGTCCCTTCAAACGACCTTCAGACCACTATCAAAGTCATGGGACGCATTTTAAAGGGTCTAGAATGAGCAAAAGGCATTCGAAGTGCTTTTTAGAACCTTTAAGGGTCATTCCAAAGGTTTTTGCGCCATCCCATAATTTTTTAAATTTTCACAAGAGCTTTATGGGAACGTCAGACCTTTCGGACCATTTTCAAAGCCATGTGAAGCATTTTAAAGAGTAGAAAGAGCTAAGGCCATTCGGGGTGGTTCTTAGAACCTTTAAAGGGCATTCCAAAGGCCTTTGCGCCATTTCACAATTTTTTAAAGTTTTACAAGAGCCTTATGGGGCGTCAGATTCCTTTAAATGACCTGCAGACCATTATAAAAGCCATGGGAAGCATCTTAAAGAATCTAAAAAGAGCTAAGGGTATTCGAAGTGCTTTTAATGCCCTTTAATATTCATTCCAAAGGCTTTTGCACTATTCCACAATTTTTTAAACTTTTATGAGATTTATGGAACGCCATATCCCTTCAAACGATCTACTTAAGCTTTGTTTGAAGCCATGGGAAGCATTTTAAAAAATCTAGAAAGAGTTAAGGGAATTCGAATTGCTTTGAATATCCTTTAAGGGTCATTCCAAAGTCATGGGAGAGCTAAGGGCATTCAGAGTGTATTTTAGAACCTTTAAGGGTTATTCCAAAGGCTTTCCCGCCAATCCAAACTTTTTTAAACTTTTACGAGGGCTTTATGTGACGTCAGATCTTTTCAAACGACCATCAGGCCACTTTCAAAGCCATGGGAAGAATCTAGAAAGCGCTAAGGACATTCAGAGTGCTTTTTAGAACTTTTAAGGGTCATTCCAAAGGCTTTTGTGCCATTCCACAATTTTTAAACTTTTACAAGCGCTTTATGGGACGTCACATCTCTTCAAACGACCTTCAGACCATTTTCAAAGCCATGGGAGTGATTTCAAAGAGTCTAGAAAGAGCTAAGGGCATTCGAAGTATTTTGTAAAACCTTTAAGGGTAATTTCAAGGGCGCCATTGCAATGCTTTTTAAACTTTTATAAAAGCCTTAAAGGTCCTGGAAAAGTTATAGGTAACTTTATTTAATTTTTTAAATTTTAAGGGACGTGGAGACCCCTTAAAAGTCTTAGGAAAGCCTTTCAAGTGGAGAAAGGGCCTTGAAAGGTTGACGAATGGTCTTTACGTCTTAAACATCTTGTATTAAGTCTGATGATGCCCAGTCTAGAGATTCAAAGAACTCTTCAGGGATTTTTAAAGATTTTTGAAATTTTGAGGGACATGGAGAGGTCTCTTTTAGTGGTGCCAAGTAGGTAACGCTTTGAAAAGGGGGGGGGGGGGGTAAACACACGTTCTACCCTTCATAGTATTCTAATGAAAGGTCTTATCGAAACAAATTGGTTTGTACACACTATATATCTTTCCCGCGCACCTCTTTTTCGAGTTTAGTGGGTGGTGGTGCCCCTGGGAGGGAGGGGGGGGGGGCAGAAATTTTTATCGTTCATGGTATTCTAATTAAAGGTCTCAACGAAAGGAATTAATTTCTACCAACTATAGTCCTCGACCCCTCTCTTTGTTTCTCTAATTATGCGTCTTGTCTCAAAGAATCACTAATAATTTACTAGTTTTACTAAGTATCGATCATGCGCCTTTGAACGCATGTGATCTCTGATATTTTCAAAAGTGCAAAACACAGTGAATATTTAATATGCTATTTCCGTACGTGTAACATTTCTGAAAGCCGAAATTCGTAAGATTCTTATGTCAGAGCGTAAGAGGGAGGACGGCTCCGCCGCCGCCGCCGGTAAAAAGGACAGACGCTTCGAATTACTCAACCCGAAACTAATAAACGAGTCCCGTAAATAAGTTAACTTCTGTTTCTTTGTAATCATTCGGTCTAATTTGCTCGTAAATACCATAAAACAGTTCGTTCGGTCGAATTATGGGACAAGTTAAGTTGCTTTGACAACGAAAAGACACCCGTTTGACATTTACGGGATCCTCTAAAATTTATTTTTGGCCTCCGGGTTTAAAAAATCGAATTCGAATTAAGGCGAAAAATTATGTGCGCCCGGTACCGAAATAATTGAGATAAATGCGCCGGTGGTTAATTAAAGACACGTTTCGGCCTCGCCACCGCGCTTCATCCTCATAATTTTCTCGGCGAATTCTCGAATAGAAAAAAAGCGTTAGGGGCGATTATGAGACTTATTTATTTTGATGTTAGAATAACTCTTAATTTCGAAGCGGACCGCGCGGTATTTTTAAATTACACTAATAAACATTTCAAGAGCGGGCGATTTTTTAAATAAATATCTTTCTTTTTGCAGAGCTTTTGTATGACACAAACTCGCGCGCGCTGTCCCCGCTATTTTTAGTTGATGGATGCTTCTATTGATGTCCTTGCGCTCTTAAAATAGTGTCAGGTAACAAGTTGTATGGAATTGAATTGTTCCGAAAACGATGACGCGATTTTCAAAAAGGACACAAAATGGTGTTGGGGGTAGGCCATTGCGGATTTTCTTTAAAACACTACCCCTAAAGAGGCTCTTCGTTGTTCTGTGGCCCCACGAAACTGAACGCACAAGGTTCTCACTTTAGGGGCTTCACGTCCCTGCGGACTCACAATTTTTTGAAATATTTGAAAATGTATGAGTCCTCTGACCCCCTAAAAACTGAGGATAGTGACACCCTTAATCAATTGTTAAGAATCGTCAAGGCTCTCCTAAAGGTCTTTTGGGATCGTTCTTCAAAATTTCACAGGACTAACAAAAATCTTCTGATTTTTCTCAAAATCTACCCCTAGAGTCTGAAGACATCTTAACGTCGAAAGGCTTTTTGTATTTTGTTGGAATTTTTTTGAATCACTCCTGGTGTGTTATATTTTTCAAAGGAGAATTTAATATGCCATCTCTTTAGATTCAAATATACAGGGTGCTCTATTTAAAAAAATGAGACTTTATCAGATAACTTTTTCACCTGACCCCGTATACTTATAGTGAAAACGGTATATTATTTAACAATCAGTATAAAGAAACTTTTAGAAGATCTTATGATAGTTGTAAGGAAAGGAAAGGGGGTTGGGGGGAATATTCGATTCAGTGTTCTCGTCTTCCATCAAAATAAAAGGGAATAAAGGAAAACGGACGGGAATAGAAAGGGGTGGGGGCGAAGCAGAAGCGGAAGGTGAAGAGGACAAGGAAATGCTGAGGCGGAACAGCAGGAAAAAAGGGTCGATGAGGATTCGACGGAAGATTCGGTTGAGAGGGTGCATAATTATAAGTGGTTTGCGTGGATAAGAGTGAGAAAGAAGACGCGAAGGGAAAAAGAAATGTAGAAAGGAAAATCAAGGGAAAGAGATAAGAAATATTAAGACTAATGGAAGCATGAAGTATAGGAGCAAGAATATGGTCTAGAAAGAGGGACATGAGAAGAAAAAAAAAGAAGAACAACAAAGAGGAAGGGAAAAAAGAACATGATGGTGGGGGGGGGGGAGGTAAACATCAAGAAACGGTATTGGAGTGGGTGAAACAGAAGAGGATAGAAAGAGAAAAGAATAACGGAATGACGTATAAGGTATAAAAAAGGAGGCGGAAACGAACGGCAAGAATGAAGTGGTAGGTATTATTGAAGTGGAAAAGCACAACACATTAAGCGTTCGTGGTGATAAAGGGTTGTAAAAGGGCGAAGAAGGGGAAGAGGGAGAGGAAATAGAAAAGTCAAGGGAGATTGGAGCAGAAGCGGAAGCTGAAGTCGAGAAAATGGAAGAGAATGGATAGCTCAAATGGATACCTGGATGGATACGATGTAAAGGGGTAGAGGAAAGACAAGAAAGATGAAGAGAGTGGAAGGAGAAGACAAAACGGGAAAAGAAGTAGAAGAAGATGGGGAGGAGTCCACGGTGAAGAGGTAACGGAGGAGTAACACGGAACCAAATTACGAGGAAGGGAAATGTACCTGTAAGTCTGAAGAAAAAGGTAAAGGAAGGGGAGGAGGAATGTGAATGTAGCGAAAGTGAGGAGGGCAGCTGAGGCGGAAATAAAGTTGCTGAAAGGGAATAAGAAAAACAGAAAAGGGTTCAGGAAGCGGGCGTTGAAACGAAAAACAGAGGAGGGAAAGGACACAAGAGCGGTAGAGGGAAGAAGGGTATGTGCGGTAGAGGAAGTTGGTGGAGAAAAAGCAGGAAGCGAAAGAGGAAAATGAAGCAGAAGCTGGCGGAAGAGAAAATGCTGAAGAAGATTAAGATGGAGAGAGAGAACTGAAATGGAGATATCATCGGAAGTAAATAAGGTAAATGAAATCAGGAATGGCAGAGTGCGAGAGAGAGAGGAAAGTAGGAAATGAAAGATCACGAAAATGTGCATGAAAAGGAAGTAGCAGCTGGGAAATAGGGATGAGACAGAAGAGGAAAACAGAAGAAGGATGACGGGGATGGAGATCTGAAGAGGAATGGGATGGCAAGAGGAATATGTAACTGGAATGGATGCGATCAAGAGGTGAGAAAAGAAACGGAATAGAAAGGATATTGCGGCGAGGTAACGGAAGAGAAAGACGAAGTGAACCTGAAACGTAAGCGACGCGACGGTGGGTCGGTGATACAGGAATGGCATGAAGGAGGATGATGGGGAGGCGGCTGAAGATGTTGAGACTGAGCGGGAAAGCAGAAGAACGTAAAGTGAGGGGGAGATTAAGACGAAACGAAACGATGGTATAATCGGAAGTGGGGGGTCTTGGTGTAGGGAAATGGGAGGAATTGAGGGGGCGAAATAGCTGGAGAAAGGGGACGATGAGTAAACGGCGGAAGATTCGGAAAGAAGAAGATGAAGCTGAAGAGTGCGTAATGGGAAATGGGAAAAGGAAAAGAAAGGTAGCAAGGGAAGGGAGGTGGGGAGACAAATGAGTGAGCAAGAAGACGACAAAAAAGATAAAGAGGAAAGTAAAGCATATGGGATTTGAACTTAAACAGTAGATGAAGGGAAAGAGAAATATTAACTGTAAAGGAAAACGGATGGGAATAGAAGGGAGGAAAGCAGAAGCGAAAGGTGAAGAGGGAACAACAGCAATTGCAAAATTTGCAGCGGCCAACACGAATGCGATTCTAATTTCAAACGAGCATTGTTCGCCTTCAACTGAGCTTCCAAATTAGATCACTCTAAATCTAAAATAAAATATTAGAAACTCCACCGAACCGCACGTGTGCAGTTTTTTAGGTGCGAATTAAAATTCCAGAAAAGCCATAAAAACGAAGCGTCGCGTAAAAAACGGCTAACGCAAATATCTGTTTTTTTGTTGCCCTATCATCATTAGTTCCATAGCGAGCGCGCTATTTCGGTATCTGCCACTCGCTTCTGGGATTAATAGCCCTCAAGTATGCGAAACGCATCCATCTCGGTCTCCCCCGACTCACCTCTCATCCGGGTCGCAGTCTCGGAAGCCTTTCGCGAAGGGGTTGCTGGCGATCTTGAGCTGGGTGATCTGAAATGGGAGCGTGTGAGTGGGGTGGGGTTGGTCGGTTTTGGTAGTTACCCTGTGGTTTTGGTAGGCGGTGACGGCGGTGAACGACGTCTCGGAGAAGACGAAGGTTTTGTAGTGGTGGCCGACTTCCTCTTGAGTTTGGGGTGGTAGGTAGACGATGTGGAAGCGCGGCTGGTAGCGGTGCATCGAGTTGAGGATGATCTGGAGAGATGGGGTTTGAGGGTTTTAGTTTAGTGGAAGGGGGGACTTACGTGTCCGTTGTCGTCGAGCTGGTTGTTGGTGAGCTTAAGCTTGTCGAAGGAGACGACCTGCTTCATCCACTGTTCGCCGGTCGCCGGACTGTCGGGGTGAACGTGGATGCGGGGTGGCGAGACAGGATCGGCTTTCCCCGCTACGACCCAGCTTGAGCTGGAATGGGAGTGGGTGAGGGTGTCGTGCCGGGGCTCTTCTTACCTATGGAAGGCGTAGCGGTACCTCTTGTCGTCGAGCGGAATGAAGTCCATCATCAGCATGTACTGGGCGTGCCTCTCCAGGCCGCAGATTCGCACCTGGAAGGTCGGAAACATTCGCCTCCCAGCCTTGGTGACTATCATCTCGGTCCCCAGCGAGTGGAACTCGTCCCAGAGCGGCTTCATCTCGAGAATGGCCCCCGCCGTGCTCAGCGCCGCGGATAAGCTGCGAAAACCGACTAGCATTTGTTCCTCCGGTTTCGGTCTTACCTCGTGCGCGATTTGCTTCCGGTTCCGGTTCGATTGTTATTCTCGGCGTCGGTTTCCGAATCCAACGAGAGCGAATCGGCGTGGCTAAGCGGCGAGTAGGCCTTTCGCGCCTTCGACGCGCTCTGCAGACACGCTGCAAGATTAAAACTAATTGGCGCGCCTGTCAAAATCGGCTTGACGGATGTACCGTGTCACTATTTACGTGAGTTATGGGGTTGTAAGTGTTCGGGCGGTCGGAATGCCCGTAAATCAGCGAAAGTATTTGGGAAAAACATGCTCGCTACACAAAGCTATCTGTTCCTATTAGTCACGTTTAGCGTTTCCTAAAAGTAAAAGGGGAGAAGAATGCGTCGCTTTTTGACGCAAAATTAGCGGCCGTCCGTCGCTCCTTACATACCAATCTCGTCAGGATGGCTAATTACGCAAATTTAACGACGCTAAGCCGTACTAATGTGGCCTTAAATCAAACTCACTCATTAGACTAACAGATTGCGGATTTGTAGCGTGAGCGTTTTTTGATTTATCCCCGGCCGAAAATACACCCAAAAGTACATTTTTCTCGCTACCGTGAAAAGTATACGTTAATTATAAGGGGGCGCCACCTTTGATGATTAAGTTTTATGAGTAGTGCAGCTCGTTTTCTTTTTTGGGGACCCAAAAAGTGAAAATATTGAAAATAATCGGTTTGTTAGATCTACAATCGGCCGCCAGTTACACTGATAAATCTCATCCCATTTATCTCATCATTTATCTTTCTACTGTTACCATTAAAATTTGCTCCGTTTTGAAATCATCTCGCGCCATCAGTTTACGACCCTCTTTGATCTTTAACTAACCGCGGAATTGACGAGTCCGAAACGCGCATCTTTAATAGGCGAATTGTCAGCACGCGCGGTGTAAACGTGGCTTTAGCTTGAATCGATATCAATACTGGCCTACTAATTTAAAGAAATTAAAAAAAAACATCTGAAATCTGAAACGGGTTGTTTCTTCTATTTGGAATTTTTCATTCATTTTTTTGAAATTCAACTACATGCATCTCATTATTTGTGTTTCTTCCGTTTTTTGGTATCATCTTCATCTATTTTTCCCCTCTAACCCCCTCTAACATTCACGCCCGCTTTCCCTTATTCTTTCTACTTCTCTACTCAATATCTTCCTCTTTCTCTCCACAAAGTTTGCATTCCTTCTTCTCGCCATTTCTTCCTCTTCTTTCTTTTGATATTTTTTTTTTGTCCAGTCCTTGTACCTCCCTCCATTTTTTCTCTGCTGCCGTATTTATATTCGTAATTCCTTCTAGTTCATGTCATTGCTTCCAAACCTATGTCTCGGTTTTCGTTCGGAATTCGTTTTTGAATTTTCTCCCCTCTTTCTTAGTTCCCATTATTTCGTTGCATCTGGTACTCTAAATATTAAAATCTCTTACTTCCTCTATCCTTTACTACCCTCCATTTTCATTTTTGTGAAGATTACCACATCTTCTACTAAGAAATGTGACAGGAAAGCAGTGCCGAGGAATCTAGGGGGTGTGGACTACCCCCTCCCCCCCTAAGGACTCGCTAATTTTTTCTCAATTTCCCTTAGCGCCCTCATGGAAACCTTTGGAAAAAGGTGTTGAAATCTTCGCATGCTGGGGGCTATTCCATACTGCCCAGACCGCCGGTGCTGTGCTCCTCACCATTGGAACTCATAATAGTTATCAAATCTTCGTATGGTTTGGGGGGGGGGGGGGGTCTATACCACCCAGACTTCCTGTGCTACGTTGTTTCATACGTAGAAATGTAGTAGGTATTAACATACTCCATACGAAAAGAGAATTCTTTATCCGTTTCCAAAAACTAATCATGAGTTGTTGAAAAAACATATTTCTGGGGGGGGGGGGCTCCAGACTTCCCGTGCTACGTTGTTTCATAGAAATGTCGTAGGTATTAACATACTCCATACGAAAAGAGAATTCTTTATCCGTTTCCAAAAACTAATCATGAGTTGTTGAAAAAACATATTTCGGGGGGGGGGCCTCCAGACTTCCCGTGCTACGTTGTTTCATAGAAATTTAATGTTAGCATACTTCATAGAAAAAGAGATTTCTCTTTCCTTTTCCAAAAACTAATCATGAGTGTGAGCACTTTTGTTGAAAAACGTATTTCGGGGGAGGGGGGAGGAAGGAGGACCTCCCGGTGCTGTGCTCCTCACAATAAAACGTTCATCCCTCGGAACTCATAATAGTTTTTGGGAAGACTGCCACATCTTTTACTAAGTGCGACAAGGAACGTAGTGCCGCAGGATATGGGGGATTATGGAATACCTCCCAGCTACACAGCAGTATCCAAACAAGAACTCGCTAATTTCTTCTCAATTTTCCATAGCACCATTTGGAAAAAGATGATCAAATCTTCGCATGCTGTGGAGTGGGCCCCCAGACTTCCGGTGCTATGTTGTGTCACAGAAATGTAGTGTTATCGTACTCCACAGGAAAAGATATTTCTCAGTCCGTCTCCAAAGCTAATCATGGGCGCGTGAGCACTTTTGTGGGATAACGAATTTCTAGGGGGCGGTGTTGTACTCCTTCCCATGAAATGTTTATTCCTTGGAACTCAATAGTTTTCGGGAAGATCATTACATCTACGAAAAAGCGGGGCAGGGACGCTGTAATGGGGGGGGGGTGTATTCTAGGGGTATGGAATAAATTATGTAGTCCTTCTTTGTTGAGGGTACTGTTGTGGGCTTGGGAGGTATTCCATACCCCCTAAAATACTAGATAATTTCTTCCCTATTTTCTTCAGGACGCCCATGGTAACCTTGATCAAATCTTCGTGCCCCCCCCCCGTGCTTCGCTCTTCGCCATAAAACGTTCTAATGTACTGTTTGCATACTCCACAGGAAAAGAGATTTCTCTGTCCTTTTCCAAAATCTTGAGTGTCTGAGCACTTTTGGGAGGAAAAGTATTTCTGGGAGGGATTTGGGGGGGGGATATTCCATACTCCCGGTTATTATCGTAAATGTAACAAGATATTCTCCAAATATTCTCGAAATATTAGTTATCAGGTTATCAGTTATCAATAAATACTGTAACTATCTTGTTGGTCATCTTATAATTGGTATATCCGTTTTTCTGTACGTAATTTAGGATTTTTTTGGTAAACTACTACAATTATAAATAAAGATCATAACGCGTAAACTGAAATGTATTATAAGACACTATATACGCAACCACAAACTTGTGATAGCAATAAATTTGGCAAAAATTCTGAATGTCATAAAAGTGCAGTTTACTGCCAGCTGAGATCTTAAATGTCATCGAATGAATGCGTTCATCGTCCAATGAAAAGTGTCGTAATTAAATCATCTAATTCGCTACGATTAAATTAATTGATATTGCTTTCATCCAAAGTTTTGACATTTCAGTTTTTATTTGTGCACGTCTGCAATAATCAGGTGATAATTTTGAAAAGCGTTCAAAACGTTTGGACGGATTCCGACATCTAAATATAATCTGGAAGATCGATCATTCCTAATTTTCCAGCCGCCTTAATTGCTAGGTGACTTAGTAATTTAATGAATTAGTGGCTCACCCTCAATTTGTTTCATCGGCGAGACGCTGGGAATCTGCTTCATTCCCGTATAGCTCCATCCGTCGGTCGCGTAGCAGCAGTCCGTCGGCAAGGATGCGACGGGATGCTCGCTGCCGGCGGCGGCGCCCTGAAGATCTCTGGACGACACTTGCATGTAATCCGAATGGTGCATCCTCACTGGCTCACCTTTCTCCACTTATAACATTTTTTCTTCCTTTCGTCTGCAAGATATAAACGAATTCGAATTAATCGGACGAAATTAAAATTAGAACGCGAATATGAGTGCTCTCTGATGCGTACGTGCGATTGATGGGCCGATGAAATGATCGCAAATGGATTTTTAAGATTTAAATGATAAGTGCAAATTAAATCTGTTGGCACTCTCTAATCGCGACTGTTTGTAAACATTTTAGTCGCTGGAATTGTGACGATTAGCAACGCCAACGAGTCTGCACTTCTTTGTTTATTTGGACATATTGAAAGTGTTATGCCCTTCGGACTGAGGAACGCGCTTCCAATAGCTTGGTATCTTTTGGAGCCAAATCAGAAATTTGGACCTATTGTTATTTTCTGTCAATTAATTTACTTACAATGAGAGTAGCAAGAGGGAAGCAAAGTATTCCAAAACAGTGATAGAACTTTGCTAGGGTTTCCTGTTCTTGATCTAATTACAAGCTAGCGAGAGAGAGAGACAAACTATTAACGAAAGTATGATACATAGGTCGAATTTTTGGAAGAGTCGGTACCTGTAGGTACCAAATCTGGCAAAATTGGCACAAAAATTAACTTAGATTGAATTTCCTGTTCTTGGTTTAATTAAAAGTTCAAATTTAATTTAAACTGCGCAAATTACGGCATGAAATTAGTGAGAGACAAACGAACTGTTAAGGAAAGGATGGTAAATCGATCGGATTTTTGGAAAAGTCATTATCTGGAGGTGTTAAATCGGGCAGAATTGGCACAAAATTAGCTTTGATAGAATTTCCTGTTCTTAATTTAATTAAAAATTCGAATTTAATTTAAACTGCGCAATTTACGGTATAAAATTAGCGAGAGAAAGGCAAACTGCTAACGAAAGATTGATAAATCAGTCGAATTTTTGAAAAAATCATTCTCTGGAAGTGCCAAATTGGGCAGAATTGCCACAAAAATGAACTTTGATAGAATTTCCTGTTCTTGATTTAATTACACGCTCGAATTTAATTTAATTGACGCATTACGACATGAAATTAGAGAGAGAGAGAGAAACATACTGTTAACGAAAGGATGATAAATCGGTCGAAGTTTTGTAAAAATCTTCATCTGTGGGTGCCAAATCAGGCAGAATTGGCACAAAAATTACCTTAAATTGAATTTCTTGTTTCCGATTTAATTACAGGCTCGAATTTAATTTAAACTTCTCAAATTACGGTATGAAACTAGCGAGAGAGAGGCAAACTGTTAATGAATGCGGATGGTAAATTGGTCGAATTTTTGAACAAGTCGTCAATTGTAGGTGGCACAATTGGTACAACAATTAGCTTTGGTACAATTTCTTGTTCTTAATTTAATTACAAGCATGAATTTAATTTAAACGTCGGGTTTTTGGAAAAGTCGTTATCCTGTTGGTGCCAAATCGGGCATAATTGGCACAAAAATTAACTTTGATGTACATTCGTTGGTTCTCGATTTAATTACAAGCTCAAATTTAATTAATTAACCACGGAATGAAATCAGCGAGAGAGAATCTAACTATTAACGAAAGGATGATAAATCGCTCGGTTTTTTTGAAAAGTCGTCTGTAGGTGTCAAATCGGGAGCACAAAAATTAACTTTGATAGAATGTCCTGTTCTTGATTTAATTGCGAGTTCGAATTTAATTTAATTAATTAATCAAGGCAGGAATTAGCGAGAGAGAAACAAACTTTTAACGAAAGGATGATAAATCTGTCGAATTTTTTGAAGTCGTTTTCTGTACGTGCCAAATAGGGCAGAATTGACACAAAAATTGACTTTGAAAGAATTTCCTGTTCTTAATTTAATTACAAGCTCGAATTTAATTTAAACTGCGCAATTTACGGTATAAAATTAGTGAGAGAAAGGCAAACTGTTAACGAAAGGTTGATAAATCGGTCGAATTTTTGGAAAAGTCATTATCTGGAGGTGCCAAATCCGGTAGAATTGTATTTTCTTGTTCTTGATTTAATTACAAGCTCAAATTAAATTAAATTAATTAATTACGTTGTGAAATTAGCGAGAGTGGGGTAATCTGTTAACGAAAGGATAATTAAGTCAGTCGAATTTTTGTAAAAATCTTCATCTGTAGGTGCCAAATCGGGCAGAATTGGCACAACAATTAGCTTTGGTACAATTTCTTGTTCTTAATTTAATTACAAGCATGAATTTAATTTAAACTGCGCAAATTACGGCATGAAATTAGCGAGAGAGAAATAAACTCTTAACGAAAGGATGAAAAATCCGTCGGATTTTTGGAAAAGTCGTTATCTGTAGGTACCAAATTGGGCATAATTGGCACAGAAGTTAAGTTTGATTGAATTTCCTGTTCCCTATTTAATAACAAAGCTTGAATCTAATTTAATTGCTCATATCATTGTATGAAATTAGCGAGAGAGAAAGATACTGTGAACGAAAGGATGATAAATCGCTCGGTTTTTTTTTGAAAAGTCGTCTGTAGATGTCAAATCGGGAGCACAAAAATTAACTGATAGATAGAATTTCCTGTTCTTGATTTAATTGCGAGTTCGAATTTAATTTAATTAATTAATCAAGGCAGGAAATTAGCGAGAGAGAAACAAACTCTTAACGAAAGGATGATAAATCTGTTGAATTTTTTGAAAAGTCGTTTTCTGTACGTGCCAAATAGGGCAGAATTGACACAAAAATTATCTTTGAAAGAATTTCCTGTTCTTAATTTAATTACAAGCTCGAATTTACGGTATAAAATTAGCGAGAGAAAGGCAAACTGTTATCGAAAGGTTGATAAATCGGTCGAATTTTGGGAAAAGTGATTATCTGGAGGTGCGAAATCGAGCAGAATTTGCACAAAAATTAATTTTGATACGATTTCCTGTTCTTCATTTAATTACAACTTAAATTTAATCTAATTGACGCATTACGGTACGAAATTGGAGAGAGACAGAAACAAACTGTTAACGAAATGATGAAAAATCGGTCGAATTATTGGAAAAGTTGTTACCTGTAGGTGCCAAATCGGACAGAATTGGCAGAAAAATTAGCTTTGGTACAATTTCTTGTTCTTAATTTAATTACAAGCATGAATTTAATTTAAACTGCGCAAATTACGGCATGAAATTAGCGAGAGAGAAATAAACTCTTAACGAAAGGATGAAAAATCCGTCGGATTTTTGGAAAAGTCGTTATCTGTAGGTACCAAATTGGGCATAATTGGCACAGAAGTTAAGTTTGATTGAATTTCCTGTTCCCTATTTAATAACAAAGCTTGAATCTAATTTAATTGCTCATATCATTGTATGAAATTAGCGAGAGAGAAAGATACTGTGAACGAAAGGATGATAAATCGCTCGGTTTTTTTTTGAAAAGTCGTCTGTAGATGTCAAATCGGGAGCACAAAAATTAACTGATAGATAGAATTTCCTGTTCTTGATTTAATTGCGAGTTCGAATTTAATTTAATTAATTAATCAAGGCAGGAAATTAGCGAGAGAGAAACAAACTCTTAACGAAAGGATGATAAATCTGTTGAATTTTTTGAAAAGTCGTTTTCTGTACGTGCCAAATAGGGCAGAATTGACACAAAAATTATCTTTGAAAGAATTTCCTGTTCTTAATTTAATTACAAGCTCGAATTTACGGTATAAAATTAGCGAGAGAAAGGCAAACTGTTATCGAAAGGTTGATAAATCGGTCGAATTTTGGGAAAAGTGATTATCTGGAGGTGCGAAATCGAGCAGAATTTGCACAAAAATTAATTTTGATACGATTTCCTGTTCTTCATTTAATTACAACTTAAATTTAATCTAATTGACGCATTACGGTACGAAATTGGAGAGAGACAGAAACAAACTGTTAACGAAATGATGAAAAATCGGTCGAATTATTGGAAAAGTTGTTACCTGTAGGTGCCAAATCGGACAGAATTGGCAGAAAAATTAACTCTGATGGTATTGCCTGTTCTTGATTTAATTACAAGCTCGAATTTATTTTAATTGGCGCATTACGGCATGAAATTAGCGAGAGAGAAACAAACTGTTAACAAATTGATGAAAAATCTGTTGGATTTTTGGAAAAGTCGCTATCTGTAGGTGCCCAATCGGGCAGAAGTGGTACAAAAATTGACTTTGATAGAATTTCCTGTTTTTGATTTAATTACATGCCTGAATTTAATTTAATTAATCACGGCATGAAATTAGCGAGAGAGAAACAAATTGTTAACGAAAGGATGATAAATCGGTCGAATTTTTGTAAAAATCTGCATCTGTAGGTGCCAAATCGGACAGAATTGGCACAAAAATTAACTTAAATTGAATTTCTTGTGCCCGATTTAATTACAGGCTCGAATTTAATGATAAAAAACGGTCGAATTTTTGGAAAAGTCGTTATCTGTAGGTGCCAAATCGGGCAGAATTGGCACAAAATTAGCTTTGATAGAATTTCCTGTTCTTAATTTAAGTACAAGCTCGAATCTAATTTAAACTACGCAATTTACGGTATAAAATTAGCGAGAGAAAGGCAAACTGTTAACGAAAGGTTGATAAATCGGTCGAATTTTTGGAAGAGTCACTGGAGGTGCCAAATCGGGTAGAATTGACACAAAAATTAACTTTGAATTTCTTGTTCTTGATTTAATTACAAGCTCGAATTTAATTTAATTGATGAAATTAGCGAGAGGGAAACAAACTGTTAACGAAAGGATGGCAAGTCGGTCGGACTTTTCGAAAAGTGGTTATCTGTAGGTGCCAAATCGGGCAAATTTGGCACAAAAATTATCTTTAATTGAATTTCCGGTTCTTGATTTAATTACATGCTCGAATTCAATTTAAATTGCACAACACGTCACGAAATTACCGAGAGAGAAACAAACTGTTAACAAATTGATGATAAATCTGTTGGATTTTTGGAAAAGTCGCTATCTGTAGGTGCCCAATCGTGGTACAAAAATTAACTTTGATAGAATTTCCTGTTTTTGATTTAATTACATGCCCGAATTTAATTTAATTAATCACGGCATGTAATTAACGAGATAGAAACAAACTGTTAACGGCAGGATGATGAATTTGTGGATTCTTTGGAAAAATCGATTCCAAATTGGAACAAAAAATGTTGTGATAGAATTTCCTGGAGATTTGTGATTAAAAAGTCCAAAAAAGGACCAAACTTTAATTTTTCACGACAAACATTTTGCAATTGCTGCCTTCTCGGCCGCGTCAGGGATCGTTTATTTCGGCGAAAATTTTAACGACGCGCGTCGTCCTTTTTACGGACGATATAAAAATTCGAAATTTTTCTTTCTCCTCGTCGCGGACAGTAAAAACCGCAGTTTGTGTTCTGATTTAAGTGGTCAATAAAACTCGAACAATTCGAGAATGTCGTAAAGAGTGCACCTACGTCAATATTACGCCCATTTAGCGTCTCAATATATCGTGACATGTTAATGGCGCGCGGACAAAACTATTCACCCGGTATATACCTACTTACCCAACGGAGCGGATTCCAATGAATTAATCGTCGATTTTGACTATTCGCACATTGTCACATCCATAAAATTGTTCAACATTCCCGCGCACAATCGAAAATTAATCCGCCGCCGCCGCGCCAAAAAACTTTTACATTAACAATTCTTCAATTCGCAGCTTTCTCTAATGAAGCTCGTTGACTGAATGGATTTTAAAATTTTCACACATGGTGTCAACGAAAGGGGCGACAATTTTCATCCTCTCGCCCCCCACCACCGTCGCTTCTTCCTTACTTAACTTAAATCATTGCGAGGTGGAGCGAAAACGCTTTCCCGAGATTTTCCCGTGACAGTTGAAAAACGCGGGAAGGGCGGCGACGAGCGCGCTTTTTGGGAGGCATCTTCAAAGGTACACGCCCCCGACCTTTCCCTATTATCACCTCGTCAATTCGGCTCGATCAAAAAAAGACAATTCGGAGTCCCAACAAAAAAGTTGGCAACACGAATTTCGCGCTTATGGTTTTATGTCTCAAGATCGCGAATGACAGACTTATGCAAGTGGGAAGGAAGTGCTCCGTTACAGCTTTCGACACCTCCATAATGTTTCGCTTCTTACTGCTACCGTATGCCTTACGAAACGATACAGGGTGTTTATCTGTGTCACATTATTTTCGTTTCCGTCGAGTTCGGAATCGTGTTTTCGACCTGGACGAAATTTATCTATCATTATTTTAATTTATAGTAGATAAATTGTCTGCCAGAGAGAGATGGAGAGATTTCTGGCAAAAGTTTGACGTTTGGTTTTTGTGTTACAGATCTATTTCTCGCGTTTTTATTTGCTATCCGCACATTCTTTCAAGTTTCCGACGAACAATTGGCACCATGCGTGACGTAACAGTCTATTGACAGTCCGTGACATTTCACATGACACATAACCTAGGCCTCCTTGATAGTAGGTATCCTCAAATATACCTGTACAAGGTTGTTTGGATACTAAACTTTTAAAAGATGCTATGGAAACCTTCTTCGGCAAAAGTTCATAATAAGAGAGACAAAAAAGTTGCGGTTGGAGAAACCTACCTGCAAATATGTTTTTTTCAAACATCGATTTACACCCCCACCCCTTTTCCAAGGCGCTAGGCTCTAATACAGAGATTGCAGTTTGAGAAAAGTATCGAAATGTTCTCGAAGTAATATGACATATTTTTCTAAAGGTCAATGAATGTGCCACTTGCACCCCCACCCCTCTCCAAGGTGCTAGGGGGGAAGCGAATTAATTACCCTCCAGGAATGGAAGGGAGTTATTAGCTTCGAGGGGAGAACTTCGCCAAGGGTTCTGAAATATTTTTTAGAGATGAATCGATGCCCCCACAGAATCGATCATGAAAGTTTGTACACATTTTGGAAAATAATCCCCCCAGTAAAGGAGTGCTATCAGGTTGAGGGAGGTTACTTCACCGAGGGGCCAATAGGTTAGGTACGATTCAATTTCAATTTTCTTGTCCTACCCCCTTTTGTACTACATCATCCTTTCATCATTATTGAAAGAAACCATCACATCTTTCCTTTTCTGGGGGGTAGTTCATACCCTCTAGACCCCCTGCTACTTCAATTTCCACCAATACGTTTCCCTCACAAAGGGATAATGTAGCGAGAGCTCACGCTTTGTTGAAAACGTAGTACCGGAGGGTCTCGGGGGTATGGAATACCCCCCAGGAAAAGGAAAGATTATCAGATTCCGGGAGGGATGGCCAATAGAGTACCATTGAATTTCAATTTTCTTATTCTGGAGGATATTGCCCCCCCCCCCCCCTTCTGTACTACGTCAGCCGCTTAAGGAAACCACTACATATTTCTTTTTTCATACCAAAATGTTAACAGTTTGCATTACCCTTACGACCCCCCTCTAAAAGGATCATGCAAGTGATGAGAGCTGTACGCGTTTTGGTAGAAAACATAGTACCGGGGGGGTCTGTGAGGTATGGAATACCCCCCAGAAAAAGGAAGATTCAATTCCCCCTCCCCCTAGGAAAAAGAAAGGTTGTTGTCAAATTCAGAAAGGGGGCCAACAGTGTACCATTGAATTTCAATTTTTTTGTCTTGGGAGATATTCTGTCCTGCCCTCTCAACCCCTTTGTCATCTTATTATCATAGATGGTGGAGCGGGGAGTCTGAGTGGTACCCCCCAGGTACATGCTCAGGGAGGGGGCCAATACCATTGAATTTTAATTTTCTTGTCTTGGATGATATCCCCCCCCCCCCCTCTGTACTACGGAACCCGGAAAATTATATATCACCGGGGGAGGGGGGTCCGTTCAATTCCACTGAATCGTTTACAGCTTTGATTACCTTTACGACCCCCCCCTCAGAAAGGATCATGTTAGGATGAGTGTGGGTACACCTTGGTCGTAGACCTTTCGTTCGAGAGTTCTTGTACGCACAGGCCGACAATCGCACGATAGGTCGGATGGACAGACGAACACGATTTTGAACCATGGGGAACCTATGATTTTACGATTTCCTGTACAGCCTGACAGGCGGACAATTGAGGAAACTTTGGACCAACTGTCCTGATACGTTTTTTTAGTTTCTAAGCTCCTGAAATTAAGCTTTAATATCAGGGGACCAGGCATTTGTTTATGGTTGCGAAGTAGTGACATATTTTTATAATTGTTTGGAGAACATAAGACAGTTCTGTTCGTGAAACACTATTTTCGGGAATATAATACGAGGTGAGAATGGTTTTTAGCATCATGAGCTCATATAAGCCGGCTTTTTCTCCCTTGATAGTATTACTCAACACAGAATGGCTTACATGTCTGCACTTCTGATACGATAATTTGTTGAAGTGGTTTTTGAATTGCTGACACTTTCGTTAATGTGCTGGTACCAGGAGAACATGACAATAGGAGTATCAGGAGTTCCTATTGTCATGTTCTCCTGGTACCAGCAGATTAACAAAAGCCTCAGTTATTCAAAGACCACTTCAACAAATTATCGTATCAGGAGTCAATTGCTTCTTTAGAAATAGTTGTGCAAGTAGATCTCTTCTGACGATTTTACTCTCCTGATATGTACCTAGTCCATTTTGGATAATATCTTCATAGCAGTGTGTGAGTATTAACCACTTTTATACCTTTGATTTCCTGATAATAAGGGATTTGGTACCTATTAGGGAAACAGAATAGTCTGTGCTCCTGATTTTTGCACGAGAAGATTAATTTAGCTCCACAGCTAGGGGTCAACGCTTCAAATTTCAGGAATAGTTTCCCAATCGATCTCGCGGGACGTACAATAATTTTTCTCTAAAACTACGCATTGAGTGATCTACACTCGCGACGGCGGACAAAAAATTTTAGAAATGTAATCGCAAGTGAAAGATTTGTGACTTTACAAAGTACCATGAGATTTTATGTGAAAATTATGTCAAACATCAGAGGAATTTCAGCTCTTTACAAATATATTTCAAAAATGAAAAATATCTCACCAAAAAACATTTTTTACGCGCGGAGAATTACGACCGGCTCCGTCGTAGAGCGCGTTCGCAATTTGTGACCGCGTTGACGGATTAATTAGATCTTCCTTTTACATTTACTATTAATATTAGACTCTTATCTCGCTTTATGTGTATTTTTTACGCGGGTTGTTGACCTCCTTTAAACTTGCATCTTTTGGTCACTTTTAAAGTACGCGCGCGTTAAAAAGAAACTTCTCTACCGAAGGGAACGCAATCGCCATCTAACGCCGGCGAGCTGAAACGGCTAGCGGCGGTTTCTACAAAACGATCTCACTTGCGCGTTAATTGTGTCTCAAATTGAGAGATGGCGCCCACGTTTGAAAATTACCCAAAACTCTAGAAAGACATTTAAAGTTTTCAAAACCAGGAGCATAGTGACACTGTTTGCTGCTCTCCTAATATACGATCCAATGTTTGTCTAAGAACCTCATAATGCTTAAAAATAGCAGTAATTTACTTACTTATCACCTTCTAACGAATTATGTTCTTCTGATACCAATTTCTCGTTCAAAAAATTATTGTATCAGGATCAAAGAAGGTGTAAATGTACGTTCTAACACTTTTTATTGCAAAGTGGATTCCTAAATCAGCTTTCGCATTTAAGAAATTGTTCTATTAGGATCACAGGAACGAAATAATGCCTAAATGTGGTAATAATTTATTCCTCACCACCTTCTAACGAATTACTTTTTCCTGACACCAATTTCTCGTTCACGTATTGTATCAGGATCCAAGAAGAGCTTCCTGTTTAGGAAATTGTATTAGGCACAGGAACGCAGTAATGCTTTAATATGGTAAACATTTATTTCTAAGCATCTTCTAATGAAATACGGTTTCCTGATACCAATTCCTCGTTAAAAAATTATTGTATCAGGGTTCAAGGATGTGTAAATTTACCTTCTCGCACTTTTTATTGCAAGTGGATTCCTAAATCAGTTTTCCCCTTTAAAAAATGGTTGTATTAGGATCACAGGATTCTTGATATAATTTAGCCCTTCGAAAATATCGTCAGTATTAAAGACTTTTGTTGGAAGGTTTGGCTTTTTTTTTCATAAAATTGTAGCAGGATTTCAGGAATCCTAGAAGTGGTACAATTTTGTTGATTTTCTTCTAACGTATGTACTTTGTTCTCCTTATACAAAATTAATAAATCAGGGAAACAGTAATTGTACCAGGAGCATAATAGCACAAATAAAATAGACACTGTTTTTTTCCAAAAATCGTATCAGGCGTTTATTGATTACAACTACATGACTTAACCTATGAGGATTTCTTCTTAACGGAAATGGCGTAAAATCTCCGCCTGATAAGTCGAATGAGCCATCGGACGAAGACAACCATCGAGTACAATGTGACCGACACTCCGAAGAGCAGCACTCCAATGACGTCCAGGAGGAGGTATTGATACCAAGGTATGTCCAGGAGCGGACTCCTTAGGTGTCTCGCTCCCTTGTGACGTATGACGTACTCCGTCCACCAGACCGCCTTTTCAGTGCCGGTCATCGGCTGGTCCTGCGCCAATTCGGCCAGCTGCTTCACTGTACTGCGATACCTGCGGGAGACCGTAAATTACATTCGACAGAGAAGATGAAGGCTTACCGTGGATTGGTGATGACCTCTAGCACGGTTTTCTTGAAGTGTTCCCTTTCCAAGCGTTGGTAGTCAAGTTCCAAACCGAGACCTTTGTTCACTATCTTTTTGGCGTTGAAGAATTGATCACCAAAGACTGGCATGCCGACCATCGGCACGTGCGAGTAGATCGCCTCGTCCATCGACTGCAGACCGCATTGTGTTATGAACAGCTTGCAATTTGGGTGCCCTACAACGAAGTTGAGCCACTGATGGTGGTTAACTGGGAGACTTACTGAGCACGTCCTCCTGAGGAAGCCATTTGGCAACAATGACGTTGTCGGACTTGTTCGCGATTTCCTCCCCGAACTTCCACAGGACAGTGTAGGGTAGTTCGGCAAACACCGACAGGAGCACTTCCATGGTGTTCGCGGGTAAAAATTCGCTCTTCATATTCGATCCCAGGCTAAAGTAGATGAATCCGTCGCTGGCATGGTCGAGCGTCGATTGGAGCTTCTGCAAGCAAACTGTTTGGTACCTCCCAATTTTGGCTTGGACCTACCTTGGGTAAGGGTCTGGGTGTACTTCTATGGGATCCGCTGCCGATTTGCACGACCGTGGGCACCAAGGGCCGATTATGGTGGAAGATGGGGTCGGCGTTAACGAACAGCATACTGATATTGTTTGCGATTTCTCCGAGAGGAGGGTAATCATCCCCGAAGTGTTTCGCAACGATCTTTTGATCGTTTTGAACCAAATCGCCCAAGTACGCCACAATTCCGTACTCGAACACGAAGCTAGCGACCCGTTGCCACAGCGATAACTTATCTCCAAACGGCAAGATGTTATCAGGGTACAAGCTGGAGTGGGTCGGGTTGCCGAGTGTCCGATAAACAAAATTTTATCCATCCAAGGACAGCATGCCAATATACGGACAGTTGAACCTGTGCGCAAACGCCAAAGGAGCGGGCCACAGGTACTCGACGACGACGAGGTCGAATTTGACCTCTTTGTCGTTTATTAGTTTCTTGATCGGTCCATAGTCTAACATTCGGTCGATTCCGTTCGACATGATCGAGAACAAGTTTCGCAACTCACTAACGACGTTCTTTTGGGCGATGCCCACGTGGTTCCTCATCATTTGGTCTTGCTCGGCCGGGGTCAGGATGCCGCTCAGGTCGATCTCGGTTAGGTTCACCAATTTGGGGTCCTTGAGAGGGTGGGTTGTTATCGTCGTGACTTGGTGGCCTCTTAGAGACAATTCCCTCCATAAGGGTTTGTAGACGACCTGGTGACTGTAGGAGTCTGTCATTACAACCCCTAAAATCTTAGCCGCACTTGCGCCACTGACAAGGAGGACCGCAGTTAGAAGCAAGAGCATTCTATCGCGTTTGGTGCACATGGTGGACTGCTGCCCTTTGCGACGACTGAGAGGATTTAAATCGATTTGCTTCAAGTGCGTGATAAAGTGACAAGATATATGGGTATGACGAATCGCCTTGATAATTCCAAAAGCGTATTTGGCGATTCACCAAATCATGGATTGCCAGGAGTTATTTAGGGACTAAGCAACTATTATTTATAATTCTCTCCCTTCGAAGTACTGATAGGAAAACAGTCAAGCACGGGGTCAGGAGGACAGAACAGAAAAGATATAGAGAGAACGCTAGGACGGAAGGAGAAGTGAAGGAAATGGGAACGGTGAGCAGAATATGAATCCAAAAGGAAAATGAAGGGTCAGGGAAAGTACAAGAAAAACGAAGAAGCAAGGAACGTGAATGAAAAGTAGGAAGCGGAAGAAAGGCGAAATCAAGCGGGAGTAACTATGACTCTCTTTGACGCTACCGAGTGGTGACGTAAGGCACTTGAACCAGAGAACTTGACACGAGTCATAGTTTCGAGCAGATACTTCCACGTGGTTACTTCTGGTAACCTGCCTCCTGTGGAAGGGCCAAGTGCTGCGAAGGACTTGTGTCCTAGGCAAAAGGGCCCCTTGAAAGAAAAAGTGTGACGCACAATTTTGTTTTTGTTGAGGTTGAAAATGGTAAGAGAGTGATTGAAGGACAAATACGAATGTGCAGGATCAAAAACAAAAGGGCGAAGTAACTCAGTGGCGAAAGGACAGAGTAAGGAGGTCAAAAAGAAATACAAACCGAGGAAAAAGTTGTATAATGCGTAGGTTAATGAAAGGGACGAGGAATAGAAATAAAGACAAAAGTGTAGGAAATGAAGGAGAACATGGAAGAATATACCAACGTGGAAAATGGGAAGGTGGCGAAGGAGCAAGACGAAAAAAAAGTTGAAACGGAAATGGGAGGAACGAGGAAGAGAAAAAATGAGGCGTAGGTAAGCAGAAGAGAAAGAAAAAACGAAGGACAATGGCAGTAGAATATGTAGCCAAAAAGGTAGTGAACAAGAACGACCAGAAGGGTGGAGATCCGAGAACAGTGGATGGAGAGTAGACAGAGGTGAAGAAAGAATGCGGGAGGGCCGAGACATGGAAGCGGAAGAAAGAGTACGAGGTGGATATGAAGAACAAAAGATGAGGGGAAAGAGCGATGGAAGAGGAAGGAGAAAATGGATAGAGATTGTGAGAAAAAGACCCCTGATGTGGGGGTTTGGTGAAAGGGAAAATAAATAGAAAGAACCGGGGAAGTGGACCAGTATGAGCGAACAAAGAAGGAAGAGGAATAAGGAGCACTAAATATTTAGGGGGGAGAACGTACTATCAGGGGGTGAGGGGGGGTATGGAATACCCTCCAGGAAAGGAAACAATTATTTCTTTACACCCATCTTTAATTCTTCAGGCACTGGGGGGTATGAATAGTCCCTGTCCTATGAAGCATCCCTACCTCACAAGCTTCGATTGTGTGTGAGAATGTACAACCGGGAGGGAGGGGGGGGGTCTAAGGGGTATAGAATACCCCCCAGGAAATGACAGATTTATTTCTTCACGCCCATTGTAAACTCTTCGGGTACTGGGGGGTATTCCAGACCCCCGGTGCTACGGTCTCTCACCAAACGTGCACCCATATTGACCCTTGTAGTTTTTCATCAAATATTCCTTTCTTATGGACCATCTTTAACTCACAGGATTCGATTTTGGGAGAGAATGTGCAACCGGGGGGGTATGGAATGCCCCCTCGACAGGAAAGATTTATTTCTTTACCCCCAACATCAACTCTTCGGGTACTGGCGGGTATTGCAGACCCCCCGGTGCTACGGTCTCCCACTAAATGTGTATTCCATACCCCCCACGACCCCTAAGGACTTCTGTTATAGTTTTTCATCGAATCTCTCGTTCCTAAGGAGCATCATGATGACCCCACAGGCTTTCCATTCGATTGTCTCTTTCATTTTGGAGGAGAATTTATACTCCCAAGGAATGGATAGATTTATTTCTTTACACCTATCTTCAACTTTTCCTGCACTACCCCTCTCCCCTCGGGACACTCGCCTATTCCCGCTCCTCCGGTGTTGAGGTCACCCACACTGTTACAATTCTTTTTTTAGGATCCCGACTAACTGCTTTATCACACACTTGCTATCAGCAAACCACGGTTTTTTTTGCTGTGCTTCTGTCCCGTAATTATTTTTTCACAGCCATTTACATATTAGCTTTTGTGCCTGATCTCCAATAAATACTTTAGCACGCAATTTCCAGAAAAATGCTTGGTTTCTTTGCTGTGCTTTTTCAGGATCTCGAGCAACTACTTTAGCACACAATTGCAATAAGAAATTGACGTGCTGCGCTCCTGTCACATTCAATCATTGTTTGAAAGCCCATTACATTAGGAAATGTTGGCTTCTTTGTTGTGCTCCTTATACTCTTTTCAATGCTATTTACATCTGTTGCCGTTGTTTGTTCCTGGTCCTTGTGGTACACAGATTTGCATTCAGAAATGGTTACTTTTTACTATGCTTCTGAAACTGGTAAATTATTTTTTTGAGCGCCCTTTACATCTTTGTTCTTGATACTTTTTAATTTTTTTCTAAATGCAATTTACTTCTTATGTACTTCGTTGCGTCTCACTTCTAATAATTGCTTTAGGAAACAGTTGCAATTCGAAAATGAAGGTATTTTTGCTGTACTCCTGATACTTTTAAATTATTTTTTGAAAGCCATTTATATTAACAACTACGTTGCTCCTCACTCCAAGCTATAGGAAATAGTTGCAATCGCAAGTTTTCGGGTTTTTTGCTGTGGTCCTGATACTTTTAAGTTGTTTTTTTTTTAATTCATTTGCATCTCTTGCACTTCCTGATTTGCATGTATGCAATTTATTACGATAATTGGAATTTTAAAGTCATTTGCGCCATCTGCCCCTGGTATATGAGCAACTAACGTAAACGGGAACAGATTCGTCTTAAGTATAATAGATGGCAGTACTTAAAGCGCTACTGTTACGCTTTTTTTCCCATTCAAACGTTAGATGTCGGGCCTTGTCTCGCTCCTGCAACCTAAGCTACAGGCAATTTACCAGAGTAATTTATATCGAGTAATTTTTGTATGTTGTTCTTTTTATTAAAAAAATACCCCAAGGTCCCAACCGCATAAAATTAATTCCATCTCGCTTAAGTACGACCCGGGGTTAAATCGGAAGCCGCCAAGTTTGGTACTATCTAAGTCTATAATTATTTATGACAAGTTTTCAAATATATTGACGCTTAACCCGTGGTTACCGGACGATTATTATTACATTTTTTCCGAAAAAAACACCTCCTCATTAAAGGCACCCACCAGAAAACTTTTCATGCGCCACGCCGTTTACGAGTAACGAATTAAAAACGGGTAATTACGACCCCGCTTCTAACTCTCCCAATTCTGGATTTTCTATTCATTAAAATTTTTTAGACGAGAAAGGCTATTCTCTCGATGGGTGGATTTTTATAATGCCCAGGCTCGCACGACAGTTTTTGTTATTTATAGGTTGGGCGTTAAACCATCAATTTGGCGGCTACTACCATCATCCTTTTATTTAATATACTGTTTCGCTTCTCGACCGCGCCGGGGGAGGAAAACGGGGGCCGTCGACGTCCGACGTCGATTGAACAATTTGCCCTCGCGTAAAAATGTTGACTTTACGACGACGACGGTATGAAATTCCTGCAGAAGTCTGCAAACGTAAACACTGTAATCTCCCGCTGGTAGTAGGCCGAGGAGAGCTATTATTAAGACCATGCTTGCCCATATAATTACCGGCAAGCCATGAAGACGTGCTTCTGCAAACGTGACATGATGTAGGTGGGTTATTGCCTTTTTTTAGCCATCTGACCTCTTCTACTCTCGTATTTACGAATTCAGCACTAAAAATTACGGCGGCTCGGATAAATCTCGTTACGTAACTGAAGAAACTTGATTTTATGGACTCAAACAGTTTTAATAGCATTTCTTCGTTAATTAATTACTCTTAATCGTATTTCGGTTCTGAATGAGGAGAGTAGCCTTTTGGTCTCATTTGCCAGCTTCAGTTGCCATCCTGTTAGAAGTTCGGGGTTCAGAATCACGAAAATCAAAGGCTACGTAGAGGAGAAGGCTTTTACAACCCATTTTCTTATTTTATTTGAAGACAGTAGCCTTTGGGTGCTCTTCCTGGTCACGATGTCCCCTTTGGAAGCTTTATTCGTCATTCTGTTAGGAGTTCATTCAAGGTCTAGACTGAGAAGAAGGCTTTTTTAATCAAGTTAGCCTTTGGGTCCTCTTCGTGATCACGATGATCCTTTTCGTCCGTTTTTCAGAAGTTAATGCTTCGCGGTAACGGAAAAAAAAAGGTCTAGGCAGAGGCGTAGGCTTTTATGGCCAAGTTTCTTATGCCATTGGAAGACAGTAGCCTTTGGGTCCTCTTCGTGGTCACGATGAACCCTTTGGAAGCTTTAGTCCCCATTCTGCCAGTCGTTCCTGCTTCGCGGTGACGAAAAAAAGGTTTAGGCACAGGAGACGGATTTTACAACCAAGTTTCTTATGCTATTTCAAGTCAGTAGCCTTTGGATCCTTTGCTTGGCCACGATGATCTTTTTGGAAGCGTCATTTGCTCCGTAGTTCATGCTTTGTGTGAACAAAAAAAGGTCTAGGCAGAAGAGGAGCCTTTTACAACCAAGTATTTTTAAGCCATTTAGAGACAGTAGCCTTTGGATCTTGCTTGTGGTCACTATGATCCCTTTGGAAGCTTTAGTCCCCATTCTGTCAGAAGTTCATGTTTCGCGCTGACGAAAAAAGGTCTAGGCAGAAGACAAGTCTTTAACAACAAAGTTTCTTATGCCATTTGAAGACAGTAGCCTTCGGGTCCTCTGGGTGGTCACGAAGATCCATTCGCGACCTTTAGTCGCCATTCTATCACGAGTTCATGCTTCGCGGTGACGAAAAAAAGGTGTAGGCAGAGGAGAAGGCTTTTACAACCCTATGTTCTTTGT